CACTCGTCCGCTCCGCCAGGCGCTGCAGCTGCTGCTGCCGCCGCCGCCGCAACCGGCAATTCCTCGGGCCGCCCCCGCCGCCTCGGAGGCGAGCTCCTGCCGGGCGCCAGCCTGGTCCCCTCGGCACCGGCGGCCTCCGGAGCTCGGGTACCGGCTGCGTTCATTGGTTCCGGTTATTTAAAAAAAAAAAAAAAGGTGAGGGGCAGAAAGGTACTGCGTCTTCAGGCCGCGCGCGACAGCCACGCTCCTGCGGCGGCGAGACCGGAATCCGCGACTCTGGCGCCTCTGAACACCAGCCCCAGCGCCCGCGCCACCGCCGCCGCGGCGCATCCCCCCGCCCCCTCCAGCCCGCACCCGTCGTAGTACCACGCTCGGCCCCGACGCCTCCTCCCCTCACACACTCGCACACAGCATACCAATCCCCCGCCTCCTTCGGCCTCTCCACAGCGCAGGCGCGGCGCTGCTGCACTGCGCCTGCGCGGCGCCACAGACCCGCCCCCTGGGCGTTCCCGGGAAGACTAACGTCCCGCGGGGTGGCTGCTAATGCTCTCGCTGAGCCGCGAAGTTAGAGGTGCGGGGGAAGACTGGCATGTATGTCCCCTTCCCCCATTCACGACCCGCCCCAGACAGCTGGAGGGTAGGGGGACCAAAGAGGCGGGACAAAGGAGTACAGACTTCCCAAATTGTTTGGGCAAGTTATAGGCGTGTAGACGACAACAAAAATAAATGCATGGGTCAGGAAAACCTTCTAATCAGAAACAGCGGCGTCTCTAGAATTTCAATATAGGTGGGGCTTAAGCCAGCAATGTGGAAGTGGAGGTTAGCATAGAAGTGTTTTATTTACTTAAAGCGCTCCCTGCAAGCCCATGTGTCAAGCACTGCTCTAAAGCCTTTACAGATTTACGCATTGTAACTAAAAGTTAGGTAGTGGTATCCCTATCAGCCCCACTTTACAAATGAGGAATCTAAGGCCCAGAGATGGTAAGTAACTTGCCCCCAGGTCCCCCACCTAATAAATGAGAGACAGGGACAGATTTAGCACCATTAAATGGAAATACTGAAATGGATTTGCTCTTGCCTCTGACTTTCCAATGTTCAAACATTACCTGAACTCATCACCTCGCTACCACCCCAGCAAATAAGGATTCTTTGCTGTCGGTTTATTAAGTTTACAGAACGGTGATTCGGATTTGGCTTTACCTACCCGGAATGAAGCACAGGGCACCCGTTCGGGCGTGCACACACACGGGCATTCTCTCTTCCAGAAGCACAAAGTTATTTAAGATTTGCAGATAAGGTTCGTAAGCATAAAGGTCCTGTTTGATATTAGTTTTTCGTTGTTGGGTTAGGGGTTTGATTTTGGTTTGTATTGGCTGGTTTTCTCAAGAAGATACTCAAATTACACAATCTCCCAAAGAATTTCTTCTTTGAGGAAAGAATCAAGAATTTCTTTGAAGCTAATCAATCTATCAACAATTATTTCTTGACAGACTTCTTGGGGACAGTGCTTTAGGTGGCAATTCATAGGGCAACGGGGAGATTATATTTCCCCTGCTGAAAGGCATAGCAATCAAGTCACAAAAGCGTCTACCAGAAGGAGAGAACTTTGCTAGAAGACCAGGAAAATATAAATAACAGGCTTGTTTTCTGCTCTCCAACATTTCATTCATTCAATATTTCCTGAGTGCCTAGTGTGTGCCAGGCAGCGTACTGAGTAGTGGGAATTCAGGAGAAATAAAAGAGAGACCAAAAAAGTCAAGTCAGTACTCAGGGATATAAGAGATAACACAGTCCCTGCCTGGGGAATCTTACGATCCTGCTTGGGAGATAAAATTTACACTCACTAAATAATTAGAAACTAATACAAGGTAGTAGTTAATTAGTTGCTAAATTGGGTAGAGGAAGCTGTATTATACAGCAATAACTGCAGTATAAAACCACAAATTATCAAATCACTGAGGCCAAACTTCTTTAGCCAAAAATTATATGGGTTTTTTTCCTTCTTTATTTTAAATAGGCTCCACACCCCATCTGGCGCTTGAACTCACCACCTGGAGATGCAGAGTGGCATGCTCCACTGACTGAGCCAGCCAGGCACCCCCTCCTTCTCTTTGAAAGACAAGGATGTTGGCACTGAGGGGACCGGACTTGACTTGAGGTTATGATTAACTGTTTATGCCTCTCACTGCTGGAGCCAAAAAGGACATAGGGAGGTACCTGCCAACACTGAAGAGACCTGTCTCAAGCAGGCCAGAGTTCAGGACTAAATCCTTCATCTCATATCATCTGTGTCAAGGGTGCCAAAGTTTCTATTAGAGTGGCCAGAATGCATCCTCTTGTTGCACAAAGGTATAGCATCACTGTGCATCTAGCAAAAACCTAGGTGCAGAAAAGAGAAAGTCCATTGTCTTCACAAGATGATCTATAGAATACAGTTGCTTCCATTTGCAAGCCGCAAAGAAACACCGGGGTTCCCGTTAGAGTAATCGCTTCTTCTTCTGACTTCCTGTCCCACCTCCAAGCCTTTGCCTTCGCTTTCCCTGCCTCCCAAATACTTTCTTCTCTTCTTTCCTCTTGCCAAATCCCATTAAAATCTAAGCTGAGCCCCTTTCCTTGACGCCTGCCTTCCTACAGCCTAGTTCTTAACGTCCCAACCTTAGGACTTTCCGTTAATTTACAGAATGTCTTTATTGTCTGATTTTCACCCATTCGTGACTTCAAGCATCTGATGGGGAGCACTGAGCTTTGGAATCAGACAAACCTAGAGGAAACTGCAACTCCACCGTTTTTCAGCTGTGTAACCCGTAGGAAAATTACTCTGTCCTGGGTTTCCGGAGGGGAAAATTAGGGACCACATAATAATGCCCGCCCCACAAGGTTGCTGGTGGCTACAAGAGAGTAAAATAACAGGTCTGCCTTTGCGCGCTGCCTGGCACACAGGTATGTTTTCATCCCTCAGGGAGAACTGGCCCCAGCCTCCGGGCGTGTGTTCTGAGCGTATTCCTAATTTAAGATAGCTCATCGCTCTTTGCCTGCGTGGTGGTTTGAGTTCATCTTCCGACAAAAAAAATCCCTTAACTCCGTAGGGCACATCCAGCACAGACGCAAGATCCGTCCACCCGGCCCCTCCCATCCCAGAAGCAAACCAGCCCTTCCCAAGCGTCGGGCTCTCTCCCCATCTCCTTCTCCCCCTTCTCCCGGGCAGCCAGGACGGCCCACGGCTCCCCACCCGCTCCAACCAGGAGAACCGGATCTCGTCCCGGGAACGAAGCCAACAGCGCGCCTGCGCCGCCAGGAAACCTCGCGCATGCCCGTTGTCTCCCACCGCCTTTTCCCCAGGTGCGCGAGCTCTCGGGCTCCCGCGGTTCCGTGACGCTGCGCGCCGCAACTAGCTTGGCTTCCGGCTCCCACTCCGTGGGCGGTGCGTCCGGGCGGCCGGCTGCCGCGGGATGACGTCACCGCGCGGACGGGCGCGGCAGGCGTTGGGTGGGCGTGGAGCCGGAGCTGAGGTGGAGGTTCGGGAGTGGGGAATTCCGGTCCGCGGTTAACTGAGAGGGGCTTCCTCCTGCGTCCCGCCTGCCCACCGAGCATCTCCGGCCCGCGTTTCGCCTACAGAGAGATGTGCCAGTTTTCTTGGCTTTGACTCCGCGACCCTAGAATTTGGGCGCCTGACGGGGCGTCATCCGTAACAGCCAAGCCCCTCGGAGAAATGCGAAGAGCTCCCTTTGGTGGAAGTCCTGTTGCGGACTACCATATGTTTTCCCACGAACTCCCCACCCAGTCTCGCAAGGGAAATGAGGTCCAGAGAACTTTAAAGGGGGTGATACTATGTATGATACTATATGTGATGGCCCCAGGATCGGAACAGTAAAGCCTCTGCATATTAATATGGTCTCAAATTATTGAATGAATTAAAGCACTAAGAAGAAAAGTGACACAGTGGAAATAACTCATTAGCAAGATTCTTTCTCCCTAAAGCCAATAAGGCAGGGAATATTCCTCACCTAGTTTAGTGAAGGTGGTAACCTTCGTCATTGCATCTTTCTTGCATGGAAGAAGAAGTCTTTTAAAAGGTATCCTGCAGGGTAAACTCGTTTTAAGAGTTTTAACATATTAACATAGTTTTTTAAAAGCCACCCAGCGGAGCAAAAGCAAATCAGTTTTGCCCACCAAAGCTAATCAATGGGCTTCTGGAGTCATTTCTATTATTAAAAAGGATGTTTGCTGTTACTGCTTAATTTGAGGTGTTACATGAATACTATTGATCACATAATATCTCATAAGTGCTAAAGCAGTAGGAGTGATAAATGCTCCCTGTAGAAAGAGGAGTCAAGGGGCGCCTGGGTGGCTCAGTCGTTGGGCGTCTGCCTTAGGCTCAGGTCATGATCCCAGACTCCTGGGATCGAGCCCCGCATCGAGCCCCGCATCGAGCCCCGCATCGGGCTCCCTACTGGGCGGGAGGCCTGCTTCTCCTTCTCCCACTCCCCCGCTTGTGTTCCTGTTCTCGCTAACTCTCTCTCTGTCAAATAAATAAATAAGATCTTTAAAAAAAAAAAAAAAGAGAGGAGTCAAATTGTGACGAAGACAAAAGTAGAGAGGTTCATAACTGAAAATGATGAGGAAATGAGCACTGCTTCATTTGCGCACAGATGAGTCCTCGGATAGTATTGTTAATTCTGAAGACGAAAGGCAAATTGTGCAACAGGTAAAACATGATATGCCTACACTTTTGACAGGAAGAGACTGGAAAAATGATTGATGGAATGGAAAAACTTTTTGAGTATGATACAAGAGATTATGCTTCTAAATCAGATGCCTACTTACCTAATCTTAAGTCACATAAGACCAAGTGTTTGTTCTAGAACTAAAGCTTAGGATGGTAAAATATGTGTTTCGGGCAAAGTGTGGTCCCATGGGTCCACAGCACCAACCAAATATTTATAACATCTGTGAATTATGAGGCACGAAGTTGCTAAAGGGTTCTTACAACACTTGAAGAGATTATCTAAGAGGGAATTACCCACCATCAATTTCAAAGTGTACAAGACATGTCTATTTTTGCAAAAGATGCCATAGAATATACAGGAGCAAGGAAGAGAAAAATAGACTTATTTTAAAGTTGTAAAGGGTGACCCACCTCACTTTTTTGTGGAAAGTTCATCCAGATACTGCAGGGTTAAGCCTCTTCTTAGTAAGTTTGAATGTATATAAACATGGCCGTAAGTACAGCCATTTGGAATTGAAACTCTTCATGAGGAGAGGAGGAGCGCCTATATCTTGGTTCCAGGAAAGCCATGTCCTTACTGGAGGCTTATTTGAGGTATGGTG